GGCGGTGAATCGGGTTGAAAGTGAAAGTCGCCCGATATTTCTATTCTATTCTATTTCTATAAGTGAATTATTGATCAAGATCAAATGGAGAAATGTAGATGTGAAACTATGTTCTTTGAACACCTTCATCCATGCTATTGAAGCTGGCAAACAGGGGAGTGAGTGAAGAGAGAAGCCATGCCTCTTTCGATGTGAGGCAAGCGATAAACGAGTAGATGCTGCCCTTAGACCAATTTTCTCTTTCGGTAGCTGACACCGAGATGGGATAGGCTAGGAAACCTTATTCAAGATGATAGGGATGGTAAACGCCCCCCCTCTCTCGTGGAGGCCCTAGACACCTCTGTGACTCCGTCTTTTGCCCGGTGACTCCTTCTGTGCAGTAAAGATTTCTATAGAATTTCACTGTCGTTTTGATATACGTATCGCATTTTTTGTCATGTTTTCGTTTCGAGTTGTTTCTATTTGGATTCCCAAGCTCTAGTTCGACATATCTTCTCAAGACTCTAGCAATAGGAGCTATGTTACCCGGCGAGCTTGTGGTACACAACCTTATCAAGAGGTAGATGACTACGGATGGACGACGGACGACAAGATTGCGGCTAATCTTACGGAGCCAATGAGAGAAGCCGCAAGCGATGACGAAGATGTCCGTTGAGTTCAAGAGGTCAAGTATAAGTATTCCTGTGGGGGCAATTAATGTGCAAAACACTGCTTCTCGTCCGTGCAAGAAAGTGTGCTTCCTACACCGAATGTCGAATTACGGGTTCCGCAAACCCTTGAGAGGTTTGAACTCTGGGGTGCGTGCGAAGATCTCAACCTATCCAGCCTGCCTAGTTGTGACCCTCCTAAGCCTAGCGCGCCAAGCTCAACGAGACAAAGAGACACAACAGTTTATACTGGTTCAGGCCACCGTTGTGGTGTGATACCCTAATCCAGTGTGGTGTGGTGGATTGCCTTGTAGGCTGAGGATGAACTAGTACAGTGGATGAACTAGCCTCAGGAGGTGAGGTGTTCTTGAGTTCGAGGGAGCTAGTGGGATGTGAATCAGGTCCCCCTCCCTATGGTGGTGGCTGGTCCTACTTATAATGGCCTTGGTCCTCTTCCCAAATATTGGCGGGAAGGGATCCCACAACGGCCGAATTTGAAAGGGGACAAGTAGTACAACTTATCCTGACAAAAATAGTCTTCGCCTGTGAAAAGCCTCCGGTCGTGACGCTGTGGTGGGCTCGTTGATGACCTCTGTCCTGCCGTCCTGGCGGTCTTGGTCTTGTTGCACCGGAATGGAAACCTTTAGATGATTCCTCGGGACTCCGCGCCTGTGGCTTGCCTCCTTTGCACCGAAGAGGAAACCTGTGCTCTGTGCCCGCCTGGCCTTTGCCGTCATGGCTCACGTCAGCTGAGCCTCGTGAAGTAAACCTTGCATAGAACTCTCCGCCCCTCGGGAGCCAGTCTGAGGAGGCCGATCCCCTCGGGGGTCTTGGCGTCGTCCGCCTCGCAAGGCTTGGCCCCTCGCGAGGGTCTTGAGTTGTTGATGTCAAAGCTGGGCCGTACCAGGCCGTCGATGGAGCCACGTGTTGGGCCGTAGGCAAGTAGGGCTGGATACCCCCATATACAGGACGCCGACAGTAGCCCCCGGGCCCAATGCGCGCTTGGACTTGGCTTCTAGGCGAAGCCAAAGGGCAAGTGCGGAGCGCCGCGATCCCTAACCGCATGCGGCCTTGATGACGCGTGGCGATTGATGGAACATGGGCGACTCCGCTTCCCCCCGCTACCTCGGCAACCGTTCGACTTGATGGGATGATGCGGCATGCAGATGGTAATGATGGCGTGAGGTTGTGGAGGCCGGCGGTTGGCCTCCCTTGGCTATAAAGGTGAGGGAGGGGCAGAGCCCCTCGCCCGTCTTTCCTTCGTCTTGCATCCGCCTGCTTCTTCTCTTCTCCACCTTGCTCCCATGGTGTCATCGAGGAGGTTTTCAGCGGCCGAGAAGGGGAAGGCTTCCAAGGAGGGGCCAGCCTCTCCGCCTCCCAAGAGGGGTCGTGGCCGTCCCCGCAAGCACCCCGCGGCTCCTGCGGCGGCTTCTAGGGGGCGCGGGGGCGCACCACCCATAGGCGGCGTTGCTCTTGGCACCCGCGATGGCACCTCTTCTCGTGACAGAGGCCACCGGCTTCGGAGCAGCCCCCATGATGAAGGGAGGCGCGCCATTATTGTGCGCCCGCCTCGGCCGCGCTTCTCCTTGCTGGACGTGCTCCCTGAATTTGTGGTGTGGTCAGAGAGCCGGCCAACACTTCGTTCCGACTTCCGTGCTTCTTCTCTGGCGAGCTTCCTTCTTCGGGGCTCGATGGCCTCTGGCTGCAGGCCGACGGGTGCTGTAGTAGAGCTTCATGGGTCGGGGCCGAGGTAGCCACCTCCGGCAACATGGTCCTGACCTGCGGCTGGCAGACGTTTCCCCGTGCGCGAGGCCTGGGCGGAAGGTGCACTCTTTACTTCAAGTACGATGGCCTGGCGACCCTCTACATGAGGGTGTTCAGGGAGGACGGCTGCCGTGTGGGGTGCTGCCCGGAGGATGGCAACGATGACGAAGGTGGCGATGGCGAGCTTGGTCTTGGCGGTGCGTGCTCCTCCCGCGACGGTAGCTCTTCCTCGGATGAGAGCTCGAGCAGTGGAGGCTACGACCGGCCTCCGCATTGTCGTGCTCGTGTCGAGGACGTCGGCGGTTCGTCCCGCCGCGGCACCCCAGTGAAGCCGGAGAGGAGCCCGGCGTGAGGCTGGGGGCCGGTGAACTTGGACTCAAGACCGGCACCTTGAGGCGCTGCTTGAGGATGCGGTGCTGGTGCCCGGTTCATATGCCTTCGGTCCTTCTTTGTTTAGCCTTTCCTTTCTCCTGTAATTCGAAGAAAAAGATAGTGTACCCCGCTGGGGTGCGTAATGAACTATGGCAGTTATGCCCTTTATGCTATGCTTGCTATCTTAATGCTGTTGTCGTAATGTTTATGCTTTGGGTAGGCAAGGATAGGATAACTTAGCTTGGTATGTGTGTAGTAGTTTTCCGCCTCGCGAGGACTTGGCCTTAGGTACATGATGAGGCCCCCTTCCCAGGGAGCTGTGGGGTCCCAAGAGCTGCTGCGGAGCCGCTATAGGGCTGCTCTCAAGGGAAAAGAAAAGACTGTCGAGCGGCTCACTCCTCTTATGTGAGCCCCCTGCCATAGATTAGCTCGGACTTGGCGCACCGCGTCGCGCTGCCCAGGAGGCACGGACATGAGGGGTGCTGGTGCCCGTGAGCTTGATCGAGGGATCCTCGTGAGGATGAGGCCGACAGGGTTCGGCGCGGTGCATGCGCGCGAGGGTAGGCCTGAGGCGCACACACCTGCCTAGCCCCACATGTGAGGTGCGCGATAGGAAGCGACGGGCGACTGCCACCTCCTTCACGCCCTCAGGCAGAAAACAGCTCAGGAAGAAAAACAACTCGAGGGACCAGAGTTCAAAAATACCAAATCCACTGAAGGGTTACTAGAAAACCGCAAGCAACTTCGGAAAGCAAATGAACAGCCGCGTCCAGCACCTAAACTAGTCTTCTCACCAGCACGGAGCTAAGTGCTGCCACTAAGACGTGGGAGGGAGCCCCCATGAGGGCCCAGGGCGACTCTTAGGAGACTCCGGGGCGTGTAAAACCCCACTCATTATTACGTGAGAGTGTCACGAGCGGAGACCTTCACAGACCGAAGCCTTGC